ATTATTTAATGCAACCTTCGACAACTTAACGAACACACATGCAAGCCACGTTGGGTGGACGTTTACACATATTTCAATTAAGAAGACACCCAGTCATTAATCTCAATTGCACTCCAACCTGTCCTTATGGCAAATGAAATAAATAGTCGGAATTTTGAACACTGGCCATGTGAATTAAAACAGGGACTCCGTTGGGGAGTTATATTAAAATTCACATCTAAGTGATGACCACAATTTAACCACAAGAACAATCATACACAATTGATGAACCTACCGATGGGGAAGACACATCGCTTGTAAATAATTTTCTATGGTTATCTCGAAATAATCTTTACCGGTGAGCTTATGAATGACAATATCCGTTAGGGAGGAGACCCCATGGGTCACGCGTATGCCACTCACTTCACCTAAAGGTTAAGTCGTTTGAATAGAAGTCTTATCTAGTAAGCTCGTGAATGCCGCATCCGTTATGGGGAGACTCCCAGGGTCCCGCGAGCGACAAACACCTTACTTAAAGACCAATTGTGGAGGCCAAATTAATTAATTAAAATTCATATTAAACTCACTTAGTCATTTTTACTTGAAGGTTTTTAACAGCATGCAATAAGAAATAATAAAATTCCTATCATGCTCCTAACACGCAAATCACATAAATCCTAGCATGCTCCTAAAATTCAAAACAAAAGCAATAACAGCTTTCTATAAATTTATAGCACCTATTCACATAATTTCTAGCATGCCAAAATTCTATTTAAATCAGCTAGACACATAATCAAATAAACATGCTCTAGCAAAATTAAATCGGCAATGCGAAAATTAAAACACATCTATCGCAGCCCCTTTTAAGCAAACCACTAATAGCCTATCAAAAACTATTACATGATTCAACAAGGTCATGGATGAACACTCGAATCGGCATCTCGCGTAAATCGGATCATTCAAGCAATATCGATACCCACCGACGGAAAAGGGCCGAAAACTTCATCTAGACGACTGAATTTGACCCCGCCACAGGCTGTCTCGGAAAATCCGTGACATATGTAGATCTCGCTCTCCCGTTTCCGAAATGGTATTATGGGCCGAAATCGGACACCTGTAGCAAAAGTTATGGCCAAAACGGTTTTCGCCGACGAAAATGCCCCCGGTGAATGCTGAAACCCTAGCCGCCGCCTCCAGGTTGGTCATCTTGAAAACGTTCGACTTTGAACACAAAATTACAGCAAAAATCGAACAAGAACAACCCTACTACGGTCTACAAAATCGCCTATACTACCCACACTTATTATCTGGTGGGAAAAACGATTACAACAATACACAAGGGCTGCGATAGACACCATCCAGAAGCATAAACGAGATAAACAATCATCCATACCATGAACATGACTGAAAACGAATAAACAAATAAACAAAATCAACTACATGTTCCAGGCAGAGCCGATAATCTACGAAACCGAGGCTCTGATACCAATTGTTGGAACACGCCGACGAGGCGGTCCTTCCCACGGATCGATATCGGATACCAAACACGTACATACATGATTTCGAATAACCCTAGGCATGGTCCTAAAGGACGAACAGAGAATTACCTTGAAAGGGAGGTTTGATTCGATCTGAGCGACCTTCTAGTATGTGTCCTGACCACGCTTGGACGCCGGATGGACGACGATCCTCCAAACGGTTGAAAGAAGCAGACTGCCCTCGTCTTTCTCTAACCCTTCTCGTTACTCTCTCCACGATGGTGGCTGGAGTGTCTCACGAAATTGCTAGGGTTTAGAACATGGGAGGTCCCCTCCTTTTATAGAGGTCTTTGGGCCAGACTAGGGATCTCTTAGAAGGTATAGGGCTTGGGCTCCTTACAGGCCCAAATTCTTATGTTCAGCCCATAACACAATTTGGCCCGTAAATATTAATTCATTCCACTAGAGAATTAATATTTCACCCCCGTCCTATCCCGAAATGAATCAGGGCTTCTATTAGACTCGATATAATTCCCCGTGTTTAAGATATCGCCGTCCATTAATTATTAAAGCTTCTGATTGCTTTAATTAATCAATATCTTTTATTCCTTAAGTAGTACCACTCAACCTTATTATCGTACGAATTAAATCCACCTGCAGGGTTTATACGATAATCATTATGAGTTCTTTAAGGGGACGTCATCAACCTGGATGTCCAGGACACGGTGCCCTAATGCCAATAAATAGATATCATGCAGATAATGTTGTTACCCAAGATACAGAACATATTGAACCAATACTTGGCTCTCACCCATTGTAAATCAAAGTAACAAACAAATATCCACATATCTAAGTATCACAATTAGGGTTAAGAATTAGTAGTCACCGAGACCTAGGTTCTTCATGATAGTCAGAACAGAAGAACACGTCTCAACTGTGATCCATTCAATGCGACGCAGCGCACTAGTATAAACCAATAGCCAAGACAAGCTATATCCAGTTTATACTACAACCTAAACCGATAGTCATGTCCATAACTATCTCAGTTGTGAATACCATTTATATCTTATAAGGGACCGACAATGTAATCTTCTGTGTGACTACTAACACACCACATTGTCTACAACATAAGATAATTGAACATTTAGCATACAAGCAATCATAAAGCATGCAACAATGTGAAAACATTTATTTCAGTCGAATGGAAAATCGAATAAATACAATCCAAAAGCTCACATAAAAGTTTGCTTTACTGTGTACCCCAACAACCCAGACCCAGACCCGACCCACTTAACCAAGTCATTGACCCGACACGAGTATAAGTCCGTGCCATGTTCGAGTCATTGTTTTGGAGTCCGACGGCTCGGCAGGCCTGGCCTGGCCTTGACCGTACCCAGATTTTGGCCAGGTCTAAATATATCGCCCTATATATAATTCCCGAATGCGCTGAGCCTACGTGGATGCTTCTGGTGCTTCGGAATCCTACTTGGCGAAGAACATGCTTCGTAATTAGGTTTGGACAAATATTATTGATATATTAATAATTAATAATCTAGGTTCGGACATTCCATAAATATTATTTAGCTAACTTAGGTATTTTAATATCACTTATACTAATATAACCTTTTAATTCTTTGTAATTTTACATTTTGAGGCACTAAGTGACTAATATATCCCTGACTTTTGATTTGTTTCCTTCAATTAGCTATTGAATTATAAATGTATTTTGAAAGTTGATAACTTTTGTTTTTCTTACCGGTTTTACATATATAATATGTCAAATTAATCATCTTTTCATGATCTACGATTTAGATATCCATATTGTATATATAAAATAAATAAATTATATTTATCTTTATAATAATAAAAAATAATAATATTTATTAAAATTTATTATAAAATAAAATTATTTTTCAGTTGATATATTTATGTTTAATGTAGTTATATGTTGTAAGTTAAAAAAATTATTATAATATAACATAAGTAAGTCACACAAATAAAAAGTGTCATACTAAATCCTCCTTATATATAATTCCCGAATGCGCTGAACCTACGTGGTTGCTTCTGGTACTTCGGAATCCTACTTGGCGAAAAATCATGCTTCGTAATTAAGTTTGGATAAATAATATTGATATACTAATAATTAATAATCTAGGTTCGGGTATTCTATAAATATTATTTAGCTAACTTAGGTATTTTAATATCACTTTTATTAATATAACCCTATTCTTTGTAATTTTACATGAGTGATGCTATAGATACATAATAGTGCACATAGAGGTGTACATAACACTCACATTGAGTGGGTCCTACCAAAAATAAAAATCAAGTGGACCCCACTCCATGTGAGTGCTATGTACACCTCTATGTACATTTATTATGTACTTGTAGCATTTTTCATTTTGCATAGTGAGACACTAAGTGACTAATGTATCCCTGAATTTTGATTTGTTTCTTTCAATAAGCTATTGAATTATAAATGTATTTAAAAGTTGATAACTTTTGTATTTCTTATCGATTCTACATATATAATATATCAAATTAGTAATATTTTGATGATCTTCGATTTGACATCCATATTGTATATATGAAATAAATAAATTATATTTATCTTTATAATAATAAAAAATAATAATATTTATTAAAATTCATTAGAAAAATAAAATTATTTCTCAATTGATATATTTATATGTAGTGCAGTTATATATTGTAAGTTAAAAAAAATTAGTATAATATAACACAAGTAAGTTGCACAAATAAAAAGTGTCATAATAAATATGTAATAATATATATATTCTTATAAAAGGTATTTAAATTTTCAACTACTTTTTCTCATTAATTTTAGATTTTAAGAAAAGAATTAGCAAATACCCGTGTAATACACGGGGCGTTGTACTAGTGTAAATGTAAATATAATAATAACGTAAGTCACAAATAATATAAGTTCAAAAAATTATTATAATATAATACAAGTAAGTCACACAAATAAAAAATGTCATACTGAATATATAATAATATATACTCCCTCCTTTTTAAAATAAGTGTCCGTTTTGACTTTTTTGATTCATCCATTTTGCTATGTATCTAGACATAAAATATGTCTAGATACATAGCAAAATGGATGAATCAAAAAAGTCAAAACGGACACTTATTTTGAAAAGGATGTAGTATATTTTAATAAAAGGCATATAAATTTTCAACTATTTTTTCTCATTAATTTTAGATTTTAAGAAAAGAATTAGCAAACACACGTGTAATACACGGGCTTGTATTAGTCGTAATCCTAAAATATAAAAAAATGTTTAAAAGTTTAAATTTAATACGAACGCCGAGCATCAGATCCACCATTCCCAACTTTCCCCCTGTCAAAGCATAAACGAGAAACATCCAACAGATTGTATGTATTTCCAACCTTCGCTGGTTTTTTGCTTTTCTCAATCGGCAGAGATAAGTTTCGGTACAAAATTTGACAGAAGGTTCTGTTTTTACGCTTCATCGGTAATTTTGCGGGTAAAAGGGTTCTAAAGATCCAAAAGGCAGAAGATGGTGAAGATCACCGCGTTGATGGTCCTGAAATGCTCTCCGGATGGTTCGGATCCGATTATTTTGTCGAACGCGTCCGATCTAAGCGGTTTCGGGTTTTTTCAACGGCCCAGTGTTAAGGAGTTCATCGTTTTCGTGGGTCGGACCGTAGCTAAACGGACACCGCCGGGCCAGAGGCAGTCGGTGCAGCATGAAGGTCCGGTTGGCTGTGATCCTTCGCATTTTCATGTTTAAATTTCAATGCTTCGTTTCCAAACCTTTCTGTTGCCCGTGAGTGGCGATTTATGTGGGATTTGTTGATTTCTTAGAGGTGCCATGACTTCTTTTGATTGATTAATGTGGTAGAGTTTTTAGTATTGAGTATTTCCTTATTGGTGTTTTACAATTTAACAAACATTAAAATTCTGCTCTTCTTCTGCTCCTTGAACTGGTTATAATTTGATAATTCTGTTACTATGTTCGAAGTTGCTCAATTTTGTAACAAAGATTTAGTTTCTTGTCTCTGTTTCTTATATGAATTCTGTCAAAGGAAATGCCTGTTGATGTGCTGGGTATGTCTGATGATTAATGTTGAAGTGTTTTGATTAGTCTTCCTAATTATGCATACATGGAATTTTTCTTCAATGATATTGTTAATTTGTACATATACCTTAGTTTGCCTTGTAAAGCATAGCATTTCAATCCAACCCGCATAATGAGCGCAAGAACAGATGGCCTGTGCTTTAAGTAAAATGAATATAATAATAGGAGTACATACCACTCCTGACCCTGGTTTTAATTCTACAATGAAACCATTACCCGTCACGGATCTTTACCATCTTTGTTGTATATTTCTCTTAGAAATGTGTTAGTGTGAGGAATATGACTACATTCTTTTATAAAATTATAAGAAAATTGCAAATTTCTGATGTCATTATAGAGTATATAAATAGAATGTAGATATTTATATATAGTTGCATATGTGGTGATTGAAAGGCAAGAACATGGTTTTGCTTAAATGAATTTCATTTTAATGGAAGTTTTTGGTGGATTAGAATTGAAAGATCTGTAAAGACAAGAATGTGGATTTGTTCAAACAAATTTCATATTAAGAGATGTTTTTGGTGGATTAGATTATTGTTCTTCCAAACTATATGGGGATGAATTTATTTATTTGTTTTTTGGTGGATTAGATTATTGTCCATTACAAATGGAGCTGGAAGAGTCATTGTTGACAATTCTCCTGGCATAGTGCTAATAATGGACTAGATCAAAATGGCTCAATTAAATTCTAGTGTTTCTTCTATTAGTGAAGTTTCTAAAAAAAAAAAATATATCAAACGACGCAATGCACCTTGGGTCGCTACGGAAACAGCCTCCTTGTATAATTACAAGGGTAAGGTCTGCGTACAACTGACTCCCCAGACCCCAACTAGTTGGGAATATACTGGGTATGTATACCGGGCCTCTAGGCGGCGCTTGGACCGCATACTAACTTCGCAACCGCGCCTAGGCCGCCTAGACAACGCCTAATTGTCCGAGCGCCTAGAAGGATCGCCTAAACTAAAATTTCGGTTCTCAAGTGCCGCCTAGCGACTAACCCGATTTTTAGAACACTGCAGGGATGTTTAGTGACTGAATGGAAAACAAAGAAGTTGAAAAGGTGTTCTTATGTGGACATATTGAATGGAGTAAGTTCTTACCTAGAGTTTTCTTAATTGTGAAATTTTGTTTTCTTATTTGATTCAAAGAAGAATAACATCAATCCTGAATTGGTATTCTTTGTAATAGGTTTATCCAGTAATGTAAGATTGGCTGGTTTATCCCATTCTTATACCTTAGAAAATTTGAACAATATATGTGAACTGAAGTTTCTATTACATTATTCATTTTAGCATAATATTTTTTGTAGCTTAACAGATGAGACTTGAGTGTTATTGTTATCATTGTTTGTGTCATTTTGGTTGTTATTATTTCTGTTTATATGAGTTGACTGACAATGTGATGACTGACGTGAACTGTAACTGTGGATAGTTCGTTCTTTCTTCAAATTTCAAATCGTATCCAACTTCTCTGCTGGCCAAAGTTGACTTATTGGTCTGATCGTTTGTAAATCAGAATACAAGGTTCATTCGTACAACCAAAATGGCTTGTGCGCGTTGGGTTTTATGGATGATCACTATCCTGTCCGAAGTGCATTTTCTTTGCTCAACCAGGTATGCAGCCCTCTAATTGGTGCAACCTACAGTGAGAGCATCAAGGTTTTTGGGAAAAGTCCTTTTTACTGATTTCGTAAATTATAACAGAATGTGATAATTTGCAGGTCTTGGATGAATATCAAAAGAGCTTTGGTGATTCATGGAAAACTGTGCAAGCAGATAATGCCCAACAATGGCCTTATCTAGCTGAGGCGCTGACCAAGTTTCAGGCATTTAAATATTTTCTGTATTCTTTTATTATTATTATTATACTTTGCTCTTGCAATATATCTCTTAGTTCCATAATTTCTTGCCTTCATAAACTGCTTAGGATCCTGCTGAGGCTGACAAGTTGTTGAGAATTCAGCGGGAATTGGATGAAACTAAAATTATTCTTGTAAGTACTGTAATCAAACTTTGAACGAAGCATTCGTCAGTCATGATGCTCTATATTATCTTAATGATCATCTCGACTTTGATTGTTAGCAGATACTTTATACTTACTTGGGTGTTACTTTGTAGGCATTAAGATCTCGGTGAATGATTTAGATTTGTAGGATATTTTTCTATATTCAAGTTTAAAACAAAATAAGTGATAATATGAAGTTATAAGAAAGAATTAGATAACTGAGTGCTGTTCTTAAATCTGTTCTCTTTTCTCCTCGGCTGATATTTGCACCTATGTATTGAAGCTTTTTAGTTATTTCATATGTTATTTCTTGAGGAGTGTAAATGTTTGTAATCTGTTAAAATTTTAATTTGGGACAAACGATGATCATTCTATACTCTCATCAAGAAATAGCCAAGTCTTTCAACTTTTATCAGCTAGGCATGATCCTGGTTCTGTCCAAGGCATCATCTGCCTAAATTTTTTCAAGATTCCTAACATACGCTTGAGTTGCATGTACAATCTTATGTAAATGTTTAATGGAGTGAAGGCAATTCACCATCAGGCTGTAAATGAACAGAGACTATTTTAGCTTTGGTATGTTCGTTCTCATTTGTTGGGTTTAAATGATTCTTTGTGTTTGCTAACAAACATGTTCTAGAGCATGTTCATTATTTGTTATTGAGCAAATATTCGCAAATTTTATGAAAAAAAATTATGATTTTTAAATATATATATATATATATATATATATATAAATATTCAATTGACTCTAAATAATACCTAAAGATATTAATCCTAAAATACACTTAATTTTTTCTATAATGATTGGTGGATAATGAGTAGCAAGTATCCTGAAAGACATCTGCCGTGTATAGGTTTGGTACTATGGAGTTTGGATATGTATTAGCAGCTGTAAATGAGATCGTGCGATGCCTGCAATTGATGCTCAAATCTCTCCATTTCTTTATATCGTCATTCATTTGTGAACTTGTATACTAAATATAATTACATGTTGTTTGCCTCAGCACAAGACTATAGACAGTGTCTTAGCTCGAGGTGAGAAGTTAGACAGTTTGGTTGATAAGAGTTCAGATCTCAGTGCAGCTTCTCAGGTTTGTCTATTTATTGAGTTTGTATTGTTTGTATCTTAAGTTAAGTGGAGAGATGCTCAAATGTTCTTGTTTTTGTAAAGATTACATGAAAGATGAATACCATACTATCCTTGTTCTTCTATGAATATGTCACGAACTAAAGTGACCATACATATATTTCAGTTTCAGGGTTAATGTTTGGGATTCCCTTGTTCCTTGTTAAGTTTAAGAGTCGCATTTATTTATTATGTCTTTCAGATGCTACACATGATTTACTCCATATGCTTGGCCTCACACATACTTATGTCCAGTGTTTTGATATTTTTATGTACCATGAGGATGGTTGTTCTATTGATTCGACTCTGCTAGAATTGCTAGAAATAGTTTTTTTCTTGGTTCCGTAATTTCATTGACTTTCCAAGCATGATCTCTATATCAAAATTATTTATCTCATGATGAGCTTTGATATGTCTAGAACAATTCCAGTCCCTCTTAACACCTATTTGAAAGGTCTTGAGTTTGTCTGAATCTGGATTTAGGCCCATGGTTCATGAAATATTGTAGTTATGTTTATTTACCTCAATTAAAACACGATTTTGCTGGCTTTTCCTTCGCCTAGAAGGCTACCGATCTTTATGTTCATGACATGCTTTAATTATTGCAATCCTGCTTCGATTGTAGAATAGCGTAGCATCATATTTTTGAGTCTGTGGTTGATTAGCATATAGTTCGCTGACAACAACTGTACTAATTAATATTATTAATCACTAAATTAGTGAAAATAAATAAAAAATAATGTATTTAATCTTAATCACTAAACCACGCCTAGGCGCTAGGCGTTGGTCGAGCGGCTAGCTGGCGCCTAGCGACTTATAGAACACTGCACATGACCGGTTTTGTTTTCAAGAATTTTCGAATTGTAACATTTTGGTCAATTGTTTTCTGATGCTGGAAGTTTCTTGGAATTCTTTGAAACAGATGTTCTACAAGCAGGCTAAGAAAACCAACCAGTGTTGTACGATCTTGTAGATGCTTCAGAATGGGATTTTGCTTGAACAAGTTACAAGTGCTTAAAAGCTCAATTGATTAAACATGAAGTTTTACAGGTTGGATTGTTTATATAATGATTTTACATAAAATGTTGCCAGATTGAAATCTTTGGGCTTAGTATCTTTGTTTCTCTTGAATAAGAGAGAGAAAGAGAGAGAGAATCATCTTTGTTGGGCAAATTTGCTATGGTTGTGCTAATACAATTACAATATTAAGTTTGATTGTTATTGCTGATAATTTGTGAACGCATGTTTTTTTACTTGCACATTTATTTGATCTCCAAAATCAGCCAATATGTGTATATCTTATGAGGAAATGCTACGGTCCCGTTACGAAATCATTCCGTCGGGGTTTGTAGTCGTTGGATCATCATGTAATTGTCGGGAATAATTGACTATACAAACCCCGAAGAATTGGTTTCGTAATGGGACCGTAGCATCTCCCTATCTTACTATCTTATGACCGAGTATGATCTAAAATTATTGTTTCTGGCAAGCTTTTTAATTAAATTGAAAATGTTGTCTAGTCTATTCGTGATTGTAAAGTTCGATATTCTATTTTGGACTTTTGGATGTACGGGATTTTCCAATTCATTTTAGAATCTTAATAAATATTTATGGTGTTCAATTCATAAATATTATTATCTGGATATTTTACTTTTATTGATATTTTAAAGACATAATCAAATTCAGCCACCACATTTAAACTTAAGAAATGCTAGGTTTTCATTAGTGTAAAAAAATTTAAAAACAATTTTTAAAATGTCACTCATGATTCTTACGCAATGATTGGGTACAATTTTTTCTCAAAAAATTTCAATAATTTTTAATCAATCGCTTTTTTAATTCAAATCTAATTCAACTCAACAATTTTCGATATTATCAATATAATTAAATTATACTCATCATTTTTACACATTACATTAACTTTAATTCACTATTCATTTGCTCACATAATTTTAACTAACCATCATTTCATATAATCTTTCCTACTTTTACATTATATCAGTTTTAATTATTTTATCTTAAATATCATTTTAATATAAACTCAAAATCCTACTAAGAACTAAAAATAACACTTTTTTTAAAAAATTAACTATACCATACCAAAAAATTCAATCAAAATCAAAATATTTCATATCCACGCATAGGATTTCAATACAATAAAAATAAAACACTCGAAATTAATTTAAAAATTCGTAAAATGACATCTATATCTATATATGTTGAAAGAGGTAGTTGTAATATCAAAAATAGTAACTTTGATTGTGTAAATAAATTATTGGTTGACTGACTATTGAAGGAACTATAGTAAATATTACTTTAATATATTTGAAAAAAAAAATCCTGCAACTCGATTAATAGCATGATATTCTATATTAATAAAGTGTTATCTAATTTGAACATAATTTTTTGATAATCATCACAGTAAAATCCAATTATTCATATTAATTACAAATCACTGCATTAACCAACCATATACTCTAATTTTCTTCAACATCTCTTCAAACAAAAACTATTAAATAGTTTTTTTTTTTTTTTTGGTAGAAAAATATTATTCGAATATGCATGATGGAATTGAAATATATAATTACAAAAGAAAAGTTTAAATCAATTATGTCGACGTGACATGCAGATTATTAGTTACCAAAAAAGAATCTAAATATTTATAATATATATTGTTCCAAATTATGATAACAAACCAACGGATCACGTCGAACTATCCATGTACATTATTAACTTAATTAAAAAAAAAAACAAAAATTTTTGTAATGTATATTGTTATAAATTATAATTATAAATTAACAAGTTATCTATCAACCAACGACGTAAATTGTTAGCTTAGAAATAAAATTAATAATATATATTATTATTACTTATAATGATTAATCATTCGGTGTGGAACTATCATAGAAATTTTAGATTATAAGGAAATTTAATATACTTATAATATACATCATTATATATATTAAGATAATAATATTGATGTAATTAAAAATTATTAAAATTTTTAACTTCAAAATAATAAATATTACAGTCTTTTCAATTAATTGTTAGTTATAATATTTACCACAATTTTTTTTAGCATAACTTATTTTGATTTTTATATAATAATAACGTATGAGTAAGGGAATGTGTATTATTTATTGATAATGTTTAAATATGTTAAATTGTCATTATTCTTAATTCTTAACAGGAACGCTTAAATTACACCTATTTTATAAACATATAAATCTTATGTTAAATTATTAGATACTGTAAAATAAAAGTATAAGATATTAATATTCAAAATTATTTTATATTAAACAATATTCTGTAATAGTTTTAATTCTATCCCAAATTACATTTGAGACTCTAATAATAATAATTATCTGAATTACATCCCCATATTTAAGATAAAATATCCATTAATTAATTAGATTACTGATAATCAAGAATGATATAATATATCATATTACCAAAGCTAGCGCTCGTTCATCGCATTATTATGCCGGAATTTAATCCACCTGCAGGGTTTAGCATAATAATCTTTCATGAACTCACTTCGGGGACATCATCAGACTAACGCACATGGTGATCGTAAATATCCTAACAGCACATCATACATACATCAATATTACCCAATACAGTAAGACTATTGATCCAGCGAACTGGAACTCACCCAAGTGAATCAAAGTAATAAATAATGCATGCACATGTCTGTTTAATATCGTACTAGTTAAGAGAAAACAATAATCAACTGAGGCCTAGTTCTTATTTTGATGTTTTAAAACATACAATTTTTAATTAATTCCCCCTACCATTTTAAATTGCAAGAATATAAAATTATGATTGCATAACTTTAAACCTGTCTTATAGTAGTCTGACTAAATAAACAAATATTCGATATAATTACTACGTTAGTTTATCAAGATAGACACCTTCTTGGTGTTTGTAGTTAACTTTAAGAAACAAAAGTGATAATTTTTGTTTCTCGTCATTTAGAGTGGTGAACCTTGTGATAAGTACGTCAATGCCACATAATTACGAGCGATTAAGTAGTCGAAATAGGAGGTCTACCCAAGGTAGCCTAAATAACACAACACAACACTAAAGAAATTAAAAGAACTCTCATAGGTGGATAATACACACTCTCAATAAAAGAATACACGCTTCCAAATAGAACAATGAAAAAAGGACAGAGAGAGACAGGCAAACACATACACATACAACAAAACAAAATAACTATATTAAAGTCTTCCACAGCTAATAAGCAACACCTCAGGCAACCACTCCAACAACTAACGACAGTTACCACCCCCACAGATACAAACTGGTCCAAGGATCCGAATTTGAAACTGCAGTGAAACGCTTGACAAGACCCAGACCCCCAGACCCCAAATCTCTTCCAGGTAGACCATCCTCGTGCCAGCATAACAAAGATCACCCCCAAAAAACAAACCCCTCACCGACTAGCAGTCTGAGTCAGACAAGCCCCTAGATCCAGTGACCCACAATATCGACGAAGCCTCTCGCCCAACCCCAGAGACGACGGAAAAACCAAGAGAAAGTAGAGTACCACTTTAGCCCCTCTCTCAAACCACCGACAACCCTAGCCGACACGCCACCAGAGTTGAGACTTCCCACTAGCGACTAAAACCTACCCCCCAGCACTATTGGAACATGAGACCAGGGGAAAGAAAGAGCTAAACTTGGCTCCGACCACGCCAAGTGACAACCAGAGTAATGTCGCCCAACCATTCCATCTAATCGCTAAAGCTGCCTCGACCTGAGAGGCCAACCAAGAGCAAGAGGGAGTGGCAAAACGCCCTCCGGTCAAGAGGCCCACGAATCGATGGGTGACTGGGAGCACGAACCGGCAGCAGTAGCAGCGCCCCATTATGGAGGAGGCTGACGATATGAGGAAAGGGTTTTATTGTAGAGAGGAATTGCTTGCTAGTTTAATGCCACTAACCACACTCAAAGATTCATCAAACGAAAATAAAAGGAAGTTTACAATTATGAGAGACGATCTCTTTTTCATTGTCCTTGAATCTCCTAGTCTTGATGCCTTGAATCTTTACTCAGTTTTTTAGGTCTTCAATGATCTCTTGTGTGTTCCTTCATATTTTTCTACATCTAAAAAATATCACTGGATATTCTACAAATGAATATGCAAAGTACCTTTTGTCCAAGTAAACAAGCATAAAAATTCAACTAATAAACAACTTCTGTGAATTATCTCTTGTAACAAGCTTAATTGTAATTTTAGAGTTTATATAGTATGTATAAGTTGACTACTTATAAATACCTACTTTACACAACATATTTGTACTTGGTATTTGATGTGGGATATTATACCTACAGGAATAAACCGGCTAAATAGGCCGGTCGAACAAACCTGAGTTGAGTAAAACAGTCAGAACCAAATAACACAAAGGAAGAGTTGGTGAAGATTCCAACAGAGGAGGTACCTATGGGTTTCGAGTATAAAGGGGACTTAGTCGATGGTCGAAAATATTGACTAAGAGGTCATCCTACAGATCGAGAATGGCATGATGGTCTATTGTACCACGAATAGGTGGCGACTTAAAAAATTGTCTTAGATAAAGTCAAACCTGTGAGCCTCTAACGGAATGTCAGTAAGACGTAAGCAAGATGGGAAGAGAATATTTATCCCATGTGTAGAGGACGCGTGGTGAGAGAAGATTGGTGCAGAAGATAGTGGCTACGACCACCTCTAACACACTCACACTGCGTGTGTACAGATCGGCAGATTAGGGCAGACAACTATAAGAGCAGGCAACCCTTTAGACCAAGTATCTCACCCCTTTATATATGGCAGCACTCGACACAATTGAAGAATTTTAGGAACGAGCCTCGATCAGGGTTGAGGCATATAAACAAAGGATGCGAGCAACACATGATAGAAAAGTGAAGGTTCGAAGATTCCAGGTGGACGACCTAGTCTGGAAAAGGGTCGATGTACTGAAACATGTC